GATTGTTTTCCATGAGCTCATCTACAAGGAAGTCTGCGAAGTGGATCAATCCAAGGGTCGATTATTGTGGTGAAAGATCTTACCGGAGCCTCGGATTTTTCTGTATCCTGATGGCCCTATAAAATAATCAAGTTCCCCAGCACTATTCAGAATAGTACACAGAATAATGTGCAGAATAATAATCATAGCATTGTTAAAAACAATGCCCCAGAAGCAAGTGCAAATTGACGTCCTTAAAGAAACCCAGAAGGAGGAGCAAAACGATCAAAATGACTTTCACAATGGTGTTCAAAAGGCTGGCCACAAGGACACTCAAAGTGATCGTCATATTGATCGTCATATTGATATGCAAACTGATGCACACAACGAAGTTCAAACCTTCAATGATTCTATAGATGACCATCGGATGGATGTGCTTCACGAATCGCAAAACGATATAAACAATAATGTATTGAGTGATAATCTTGATACTCCGGTATCAACTGGTAAAAAATCTCGCGTTTGCAAAGTGGAATATCCTCTGAACTTTTCTCCTCTTTCTTCTTATATCGACGGAAAAAGTTACGATTCATCAATTCATCGTCGAAACAAGCAAAAACATCGCAAACAAGAGTATGAAATAGCTCCATCTGGCTCAACCTGGTCCAGTCGTCTTCGAATCCGTAAACGGAAAATGTCTGCCTCCTCATCAGCTGATGAATCGGCAACACAAGATACACCATTAGCAATAGCTAACTCACCAGCAACCACACCAACATCAACGAGGATGACTGATTCACCAACTACACCTGTTGCTGCTATCAGTACATCAAGGCGCAATTCAACTAAAACTCCAGTTACTAGCAATGACGACGGCGAAGAACCAAATGCAATCTCACAAGAAGATCGAGACATCCAAAGGATTGTCTCTGTGATAAAAAGTTTTTTACCGCATCCAGGATGTTTTCTTGTACAAGATGGTATCCTGGAATGTTTTGTTTGCGGGGAAGTCTTTCGATATCGTGATAATTGGCGCAGACATTTGCTAGAACAGCATTTCCATCTTACCTTCCTATGCCCAACCTGTGGTCAAAAGTTCAAAAGAAGAGGAAAATGTTCCGAACATATGCTGCGTTGCCGTTAAATGCATAAATTTATTTTGAAAAAGTTTCTGTGAACTTCCCTTACGTCTTCATCAATATCATAATCATTATCCCGTGCCTTTCGATGAATTATGTGAATTTATTGATTTTTGTCAACGCATCTTATACGCACCTTTCATTTGGATGGCAATGTTTTCTCTGGTTCACCTTTATCTACCTTTATCAATTTTTAAGAGATACATGCATTCAAAATGTTTCATATCGTCCTCCCAGTTCACTAAACTAATGCAACTTCTTAAACGTTGTCATAATAATCAATTTAGGTCAATTGGGTCTTGGTTATTATTACTCGTATTTCTTGTGCCTTTCTTGTGCCTTTCATCTTCCTTCATCATACAATTATTCGTCTCAAATTCTTAAATTATCATCATACATTAAGATGTATTGAGTGGAATGGATTGTGCCTTATATTATTAATATATTGATTGCATGATTCACTTATTGCAAAGTTAACTCACGATTTGACTTGTATTCTATTGATTTTTTTCTAACAAAGTTTTCTTTCATCTATCCATCATAAATAAAATGACAATATGCAGATTAGATTAATAATTAAAAATGTAATAAATAAATTAACCAATGTACTGCCTTAATTCGTAATTTGTTTCAAGTTTTGCCTATTGGCTCAATTTGAATCCAATGAATATAATTTTTGATCCTTTGATACATACAAATACAATAAATCTTCCAATGTGTATAAGTGAATAGCAATAGTAGTTGAAATTCACGTGTTAAAATAAAACATTCATTGGGAATGGCTAAACTTTGGGTTTTATTTTCAGTCCGGAAATTATACAAAACCAATCCATATTTGTCCAAAATAGAAGATTAATTTGCATGAAATTCTTGTTGATTTGATCACTGACTTCAGAGTTTCAGACTGCTTCTTAAGGAGTGCATTTGCATCTTATGCATTTTTTTCGATACTATTGATAAGAATCCTCAACTCCTCGATGGCGAACCAGGGAGGAGTGAATTGTTTTTAAATTATCCTTGATTGTACTCTTTGCTCACTCAAACAAAAATCAATAGCAATAGCAATAGGTAATTTTATTTAATCAGTGGGCAATACAAGTGATCACCATCCGGACTTCTATCAACATTCCTTCTATTCAATTTTATCAATAATTTAATCTCTTTATTCTTGTTACTTATAAAAAATTCATCATCGACCAACTTCTTGGGTCAAAAAGAGAAAAGCACAAAAATAGTGACAAACCGAACATTTTAATAGAAAAAAAACACAAAAAATATTAAATTATGGCCAGTGTTTTTCTTGGAGTTGAAGAGGGTTTTCATTTTTGTCTGAGTGAGCAAAGAGTACAATCAAGGAAAATTCAAAAACAATTCATTCCTCCCTGGTTCTTCATTGAGGAGTTGAGGATTCTCATCAATTGTATTGAAGATTCGTGCGATTCAAACCAACCCATTCCGCAGCCTGGAACTCTGAAGTAAATGATCAAATAAAGGAGAATTTTATGCAAATAAATTTTCTATTTTGGACAAATATGGATTGATTGTTGCTAATAAGAAGACACAATCAACACACAATTTACACAAATGGGAAAACGGGTAAAAATTAACTTCTCTTGAACCAAGACTCAGTTAGTTTGTAGGAGCATTAAAATAAGTCCATTTGTTCAATTTGAAGATTTCTTTGTTGATCAGTTTTCGAGAAAATCGAGCTCAACTACTATTTTATTCACTAATTTATACACACTATTAGTATTTGTAGCAAATGCATTTGTTTTTACTAATAAAAAGACACAATTAACACAGTTGTAACTCAAATGCACAAATTGACACAAACACTGAAAACAAATGACCAAAAACGGCTAAAAACTGATTTCTATTCAATTTAGACTCTGTTAGTTGTATCGGGCATTAAAATTGCGTGCATTTGTTTAATTAAAAGATTTCTCTGATGAACCGTTCTCGAGAAAATCGGGTTCGAAGTTGAAACTTGAAAAGCATTTTGTACAATTACGGAGGCTGATTCTTTCATGAAACTCATGCACCTGATGTATCTTTTGATGACTAACCTGGAAATGTTTTCATTTTGTAAAATAAAACTTTTCTTTTTCTGTAAAACAGATCAGTGCGATTCGCAGTTAAACCGATCGCCCTTTATGACCATGAGAGTTAATGAGCTGAAACTTATTATCTTCACATAAAAATTGCTGGCCCACATCATAGATTGAATAATTTTAGCAATTTAACAATAGTTATCTTGATTTTGGCCATTGGGCTTTAAACTTTGAGGCTCAATATTTCGAGAATGGCCTCACCTACAATCCTCATTCCTTTACTAATTCAATTCTTTACTAATCATTAATTCAATTCAATCAAATAACATTTCATAAGCGCATTTGGGGCATGACTTTTGGGTTGTAAAGGGACAAGAAACAACTTATTCAACAAACTAAACTCATATTAACCCATTTCTTGGTAAATAAACCAATTTTCTGGTTAAGTTTGTAAATGAAATGCAAAGAGTGCTGCCAAAAGCTCGAGCATCTGAGTAAAAAGTTGAGACTTAGTGGGTTTGTAGGGACATAAAAACTGTGTCCATTGGTCCTATTGAAGAATTCATTCGATGGACAATTTTCTAGAAAATCGAAGTCAAACTTAAAACTTTGATCACCTTTTGCTCAGCTTTGGAAGGAGATTTTTTCAAGAAATTTGTTTCACTGATGTATCTTTTGATGTACAACCATAAAATGGTCTTATTTTTCGATATAACATTTTCATTTTCAGTAAAACAGATCAAATTCGATTTTAAGTTATACCAACCCCGTTATGCGACCATAAGAGTTAGAGAGCTGAAACCTATTATGCGTCGATAAAAGTTGTTTGTAGACAGCCATGACTGAACATTTTTTTCAATTTACCAACAGTTCTCTTAATTTTGGCCATTGGGCTTTAAACTTCGAGTCTCAATATTTCGAGAACCGCATCACCTACAATCACCATTCTTGCACCAAACATGCGATTTCATAGTGGGCTATAATATAATGAAATATAAAATTATGTAAGATTCTACAAAAAGCAGTTATAGTGATGCATTACTTATGTTTTCAGACTTGAGAGTTGATTTATAAAATTGAATGATAACTAAACACAAAACTTATGAGTTAGAAGAATATTCATTATTGAATGAGCCAACCGAGATTTTATTCGGTTTTCAGTTATTTACTATTGTAGCTCATAATGAAATCTAATGTTTCGAGAAAGAATGAGGATTGTAGGTGAGGCCATTCTCGAAATATTGAGCCTCAAAGTTTTAAGCCCAATGGCCAAAATCAAGAGAACTATTGTTAAATTGCTAAAATTATTCAATCTATGATGTGGGCCAGCAATTTTTATGTGCAAATAATAAGTTTCAGCTCATTAACTCTCATGGTCATAAAGGGCGATCGGTTTAACTTCGAATTGCACTGATCTGTTTTACAGAAAAAGAAAAGTTTTATTTTACAAAATGAAAACATTTCCAGGTTGGTCATGCAAAGGTACATCAGGTGCATGAGTTTCATAAAAGAATCAGCCTCCGTAATTGTACAAAATGCTTTTCAAGTTTCAACTTCGAACCCGATTTTCTCGAGAATGGTTCATCAGAGAAATCTTTTAATTAAACAAATGTATTCAATTTTAATGCCCGATACAACTAACAGAGTCTAAATTGAATAGAAATCAGTTTTTAGCCGTTTTTGGTCATTTGTTTTCAGTGTTTGTGTCAATTTGTGCATTTGAGTGACAACTGTGTTAATAATGTCTTTTTATTAGTAAAAACCAATCTATTCGCTGCAAATACAAATAGTGTGTATAGATGAGTGAATAAAATAGGAATTGAGCTCGATTTTTCGAAAACTGATCAACAAAGAAATCTTCAAATCGCACAAATGGACTTATTTTAATGCTCCTGCAAACTAACTGAGTCTTTGTTCAAGAGACGTTAATTTTTACCAGTTTTTACCATTTGTGTAAATTGTGTGTTGATTTTGTCTTCTTATTATCAACAATCAATCCATATTTGTCCAAAATAGAAAATTTATTTGCATAAAATTCTCCTTTATTTGATCATTTACTACAGAGTCCCAGGCTGCGGAATGGGTTGGTTTGAATCGCACGAATCTTCAATACTATTGATGAGTATCCTCAACTCCTCAATGAAGCCCCAGTGAGGAATGAATTGTTTTTGAATTTTCCTTGATTGTACTCTTTGCTCACTCAAACAAAAATGAAAACCCTCATCAATTCCAAGAAAAACACTGGCCATAATTTAATATTTTTGGGTTTTTTCTATTAAAATGTTCACTTTGTCACTATTTTTGTGCTTTTCTCTTTTTGACCCAAGTGACGTTGGGTCAAAAAGAGAATAAATATGCAGAATGGATTAAACAAGTTGATAAATCTGATGCAAGGCACTCCTCATGAGTTCAGCTCTTGGAGTGACTGCTTTTATACCCACAAATGAAGTTTGTCAAACATTTTCCGAACATTTTTCTAATGACATCATTAGTTCCCACTTGGTCTTTGATTGATTAGACTCAGTTCCCTTTCTGAATATTATTCCAAATCAAATACTTTTCCCGAGATTTATGAATAATTCAATTCCCTACAAAACTAAAGCAGACTTAAGTAACCTAACTATCGAGTTTCATTCGGAAGAAAAATCAGATTCAGGCTCAATGAAATCATTCCAAGGTTTTTCCAACCAATCTGGTTTCATTTCCCTACATAATTTGATTGAAAGATGAGAGCTTAAAGAATAAAAAATCGCATTATTTTATTGTTTGACAAAAAAATGGAAATAATAAAAGTGAAATCTTCACACTTTATTCTTTTATTTGAATCGACCCTTTGAAATTGATTTGGGCTGAATATTCAAGTTTGATAAATATATCACTCAATCGTTATCATAAGCGACGTAATCATCATCTTGACCATCCTCCGTATCTTCATGAGCTTCATAGCCTTCAACAGAATATTCATGGCCAACATAATCTTGCATTCTAAGTTGATGTCCTTTGTCACATGCATGGTGGATGATTTCAACAGTTTTTGGTGTTCCTGGTTTTATCCAGAATAAGTAGGAACATAAATTCATAATATTCTGTATGAAAGAAAAGCAAATATCAAAGTAATTAATTTATTTTATAATGAAAATAAACGACAACTTACAATATTTTTGTGTAGTAAATCACATTTTTTATGATTTGGGTCCGTTTTGAAACATTTTGTTTGACCAATGATGAAAGTTATCGAATATTTGATTCCATTTAGAGCTTGGAATGAAACTGAGGTGATTTTAACCAATTTAAAGTAGTAGTCATTGGTGCTAAGTTTATTGTGGTCATCAACAGCAAGTTCGGCCAGCTCAAGAACGGTTGGATTGTCCATCGATACTCTACCCCATTCACCAATACCAGCAAGGGTTAGAAAAGGTCCAAAAGACAAGATTACTATCAATATGAGTTTCATTTTCATAATTAAAATTAAACTGCAGCAATTGAATGTTTGCTTCAGATCTGACTTTTATAAATTGAAAAGTGAGAATGTTAAAGGCAATTTATCAACATCTTGGATGAAATTTGATCACAATTGAAAATCTGTTTCAAACAATTTTAATCAATTGATTTATTAAGAAAATGGCAAACTAATAATACAGCATAGAAATGGAAGTTTATTCAGTATCGGATAATTCAAACACATGTTTGGACAACTGTTATAAGAATTAATTTTCTGACTTTTGATATGAAGCACAATTAAATAACTTTTCTTTAGACAGTTAACAATTATTTTCATTACACTAATATTGTCTTTGCATTCGTTGTTTTCAATATAACCATTGTTAGCACAATACTGCTACTTGTTTGTATGCCTAATAATTTGAAGAGATTTAAAACACACTAATTATTCAACTGGGTTATGTTTATAATGATTTTCAAGCCTTGGCAAGGGCTTCGGCTGATCGCATTTTAACATGATTACTCCTAGATTCTCGCAGGAAACGGACCAAGCAGCTAACTATTTTAGATCTAAGATCTGGATCAATCATATTCTTGTCTGTATCAGCATCAAATATGTGTCCAAGAATGAAAATTGAAGCAGCCTTGATATTGTCTTGATTACTTCTTAAATACAATTCTAAAGATGTTGTCCAATCTTCAATTAACTCTTTCGATTCACTTGCCTGCAATTTGAAAATAAGATGATAAAATTAGCTCAAATGATATATTGTCTGCAAGATAATCAAGCCTTACCAGAAATTTGATTAAACTTGGTGTAAATTCGGTTGGTTCGACGAAATGCTTTTCAGTGGCAACCTTTTTGAAAAATTTGCCGAGTGGGTCATTCGCTGGAACGGTTGCATCGAAGTTTGCTAATGCATATCTAGCCGCCTGTTGAAAGAAAAGTAAATTCATTAATAAATTTAAGAAATTTAAAGGAAATCAAGAAATTCAATACCTCAGTAACGATAGATACGTTTGAGTTGTAATAAACAACAAGTGGTATCAAACTCTCGGTGGAAACATCCTGAAGAAGTAAGCCGCCTTTTTCACATAATTTACCATAACAATGTATTGCTGAGGATCTGATATTTTTATTTTCCTGATGGAAAAAGAAAAAGAAATTAATTTAGATTCATAAACGGAGAGTCGATGATAAACAAACCTTATCGAAAAGAGATTTTAATCGTATAGCAATGTGAACGCATATATCTTGAAGTTGAGATTTCTCAAGGTAAACTAAATTGTTTGTTAACCCTTTGATTGATTCGAGCAGGACATCATCATTTTTATCATCTTTGTCTTCCAACCCCAACAAAAGAGCTGAAATAACTGGACTAGAAAGTTTGGAATTCTGTTGAGAATAAATAAGACATTACATTATTGTTTGATTGATTATAATGATAGTTAAAAACTTACCAATTCTGGTGAAAGACAGCTGTGTCGACCTAAACCTCGGATACACAGCTTTCTAATTGCATTAGAAGAATCAGTAAGCATATTGAGAAGTGTTTGCAATAAAGGTTCAGCTAGGTTTTGTTGATCATAATTATCAATGGAAAGTATTTCACAGAAAAATGCAACAGGAATGAGTCGGCGATTGGGCGAGGAATCTTTCAAAAGAGCTGTCAAATGTTCAACAAGATCAGAAATATCAGCTGGGTACTTGAAGCACATTTCTTTGGCCAAAACGACAACAGTTTCAGGGAATTCATCTTCTTTTTCCATCAAGAAAAAGATATGATCATTAAGTACTTTATCTCGTTCACATTTGTAAAGGACATTTTTCAACGTCTGGACGGCAATGCTAATTGGGAAGATATTTTGCTTCTTTTCTGAATTATTTGCAACTCGAGGGTCGTTTTCAGGTGGAATGTATTCAGCTTTGAGAAAACTTGCAACTGTACCAAATACTGCGGTAAAAACTCTAACAAATTGAGAAATCAAGATCGGTGAAGAAATAGAAGATCCATAAATTTCTTGGAGAGCTAAAATGGCTGATAAGGCTTTAGGCGAAGCCACAGTGACATGAGGTTTACGTGGATGAAAGTAGGTTTGTTGTCCGTTTAAGACATCTAACAGTTTATCAATGATAGGTGTGCAAAGGGTTGAATCAGAAACCAAAGTGAGCCACATTTGAATATGATCTTTGGACCAGGTTGGAGGACAGTCGAGAAGATAATTGAGAACAGAATTTAGTTGATGAGATCCAAAAGAAGATATAATAGATTCAAGACCTCGCCTGGTATGAGTATGACTAACATAAGGCATACGGTTGATAAGGTAACTGATGAAATCAGGTAACTCTTGTTTGAAATCATTTCCGTAGATATCAACAAGAGAAAGAAGAGCGCAAGAACAACCATAAGAACACGATGAAAGGTTTTCAGTCATTCCATCGAGCAGATGTTTAAAAAGTGGTAAAGGTGATAAATCTCGCAGTTTCATTTGATGAGCAAGATAATTGGTTAAAGTTTTGATTGATTCTGAAGTTAATTCAGGAACCTCATCACGATAATTGATTAATCTATTAAATAGTTCAATGCATGGTTCTTGGGAAGCGGGCCTATTGGACACTTTTTCAGCAATTTTGAAGATAGCACGGAAACAGAAGAAAGCTTTGATACGAATAGATGGAACCGGATCGAAAAGTCTCGATATAAGAAGACCAATCAACGAACCAAAAGATTCAAAACGATGAGATCCGGCAACAAGGAAAGTCATCCAAGAGTCAAGATTACTCTCATAAAAATTAAGACAATGTTGAGCTGTACTAACAGCATCACTTCTGTGGCCTTCATTAGTTTGTGAATTCAACCACGGTCTCAATTGAGTTACAATAAAAACGAGAATTTCAAGTGTTGATCGTTCTCTGACAACAAAATCTTCGAGGAGTGTTTTCATAGAACACAATAAATCATCGTAACCAACTCTTGCGTAAACTGCTCTCCCAACAACATCGATGACAGTCGTTTTTTCTTTGTCAGAAAGAACAGGTTCGTGTTTTACAAGATTTGAAATTGTATCCAAAGTCAGTTGACAATGATGACTTGTAGTGGTCGGTGATCGTAGAATAGTCAACATTTCGTTCAGCAAATCATCACGTTTGCGGAAAATGTACATCTGTTTAAGTTTTTCAGGAAGCACTGAATATGCAATGATGCCAACAGCTTGGATGTAAGCAGCCTGGACGAGCCAATCTTTTGATTGTGAGTAAAAATATCCAATTGTTCGCAGAATAGGAGTCTCTAAACGAGTTAAAAGAAGATCACTTTCAGCATGCTTCACAACATATGCATAACTGAGAACGATAGTTGATCTTAGTCGTTCCAATTCAGGATCTGTTCCACTCCTCATGGAATCCATGATTGAATTGATGAATCCAGTTGAACGTCGAGGCTCGGCATATTTCTCCAAATTGACTAAGACCATATCTAAATGATTAGCAGCACATTTACCGGCCAAATAAGCAAGACCTTCTCTCTCGATAGCACTGCTGTGGTCGATGGTTTCAAATGCAAGATCCAATGCATTTTGTGCGACTTCCTTATTCCTGTAAAGTCTTATTACGTTGCCCAAATTCGTCAGATAGAAATTTTTCAATGGTGATTTCTGATAATAAAGGTGAATTTGACGCATTTGAGCAGTGATATAATTGTGATAAAATTCCAGGCTTCCAATTTTCTGCAGAAAGGCTGTGTTGAAATTGCAACAAATATTTCTCCAAAATTCATGCTTCGAATCATCAAACATAGCAAATTCATTAATCAATCCTGTAAGAATATGAGCGACAGAATCAAATTGTTCATGAATATGAGGACCAACAAGTTTTAAAACCTGTAAAGTATCTTTAACATGTGATTCTGGTACATCACCAATAATGACACTTAAACGTGCAAACAGAGCCTCGCGCTTTGGCATTTGTTCAATCCTCTGGAAATAAGATTGAAGTAACTCGCCCGATGGATCTTGTCTTTTTATTTTCTCTCCCATCAGGTAGATAGATTTACACAAAGTGGGGAGAGCTTCAGTATACTCAGGTTGGATCAGGTATTCAAATAGATGAGGCCAAAGAACCTTTTCAATGTCATCAACGGTGGTTACAAGAAGATTCATCACGTTATCTGACATTGTACGCAGATCTTTGTTAGTAACTGCATCACTGTCAAAAACAGATGATCTTCTGCTGTGTAGTTCTTCCTCGCTTTCTTCTTCCAACGCACATTGAGTGATGATATACTTGATTAAGGCTTGTCCACCTTCCAAATCCAAATATCCGTGATGTGCAATAGTTACAATCACTTGAGTTATAGCTCGACGAACTCTATTATTTTCTTCATCAAGAATCCGACGAAGAGCTTTGAATATTAACGACAACCGGGGAACGATATATTGACTAGAAGCATTAATTAGATGCTTTAATATGGTTAATGCACCAATTTTTGCAGAGTCCGAGTTTAATTCAAGTTTGGTAAGCAACCAGGGGATCAGGTAATCACTATATTTGGTATTTAGAGTAGCAAAGGACCGTAATATTTCGTTGTGATTCCGAATTGAATTGGGCTGTTGGTAATCAGGTAAGGCACATGTTTGGATGAAAAGAGTATTAGTAATAGCTTCAATGTTGAGTCGTGTTAAAGTTGGCGATCCTCTTTCCGTCAAACATTCAAGTGCTTGGTGTAAACTTTGAGAAGCATAACAAATCTCGAAATCATTTGATGACAATGGTAGGGACACCGTTGGTTTTCGATAGAGCGGGAGAAGACTGGTAATGAATCGAGGAGCATTTTCTGCAAATGCTTTATCACTCATCAAAGAGATCATATTTCCAAGAGCCTTGATGACGGCCTCTCGGACTCGATTATTGCGTCCATTAAACCATTCGTGATAAAGATAATCGAAAAGACTATCGATTTCAGGAAAAAAGTAAGCCTTGTTGACTTCTGGATCAGGTGCCCGGTCAATGTTAGACAAGTATTCTTTTATCGATTCAGCAAATTGAGAGACACATTTAACGAAAAATATCCGAACGACATCTTTACGAATCACAGGTAACATTGTGACCATGGTACCTAATAGACCTTTGATATAACCAACCATTCCAAATGGATTAGCAGTTGCTAATGAGCCTAGGCATTTACAGATCCCTATAAAAGGAGATGTGTTGGGCTTAAACCGTTCCAAGAATTTTTCCATGATATCAGTGGTCTGTTTTTTACCAAGACAGACAAGCACCCCACAAGAATATCGCTCATAATCAGTAATTTCATCGAGATCTTTATTCAGAACGCCTATGCAAAATTTGATCAATTGATTTCGGGTGTCTTGGTCAATTTTATTCACAAACTCTATGCAAACTCTTTCTATATTGCTCATTAATTTGATTTTGCCGATTTGCCTTAGCTGTGAAAAAATGAGATAATTAGATTACTTAAGGCTAATGACAATATTGAGTAATAAGTGAGGTGAAAGACAAACCTGCTGATCTTTACCGTCATCCTTCTGGAGGTGATAAAGACATGTACCGAGTACCAAAGAACAGTGTTTACTCCCATATTGAACAACAATATTGCAAACATGATTGCTGACAGCTTCTTGTTCATCCGTACATCCAGCAACGAGAGCATCCACAACGAGCTGAGAATAATCTGGAGATTGATGATCACAGGTGTCTACTTCCATATTGCACCAAATAAGAAAAAATTAAAACTACGATGTAGATAGAAATTAAAAATGTCCCATAATCAGTAAAAGTGGTGATATCACAGGTGAAAATGTAGTTTTCAAAACTGTAACCTTTCAAAATACCTTTTAAATATCTTTCATCTTACATCATGTCAGCTGTGGAGACCCCGCAGTCAGAATATGTAACTAACTTTCAATGAATATCATTGGTATTTTTTTGTTGCGCCAATTTTTAATGTTAATTTGACAGTTAAAACGTTTTGAAGCAGAAAATGCACCGTAGCACTTTCAATTAGCCCTGGAAATTAAATTTTCACCATGAATCATGAATGTGAGAAAACCGTCAATTTTGAACATTAGATTTTGTATTATTTTCTATTGACTTTCTGAATCCAGGTTTTTAATTGAATTAATACTAGTAAGAAAAGATAACTATCTTATCTGCTAGTTAAAAATTGTTACAGATCAAAATAAATATTGTCATTTTTTGTTCGTGCATAAATGTGCAAGTCAATAAAAAAATACACAATGAAGAATCTGTAAAACAATATACAACAACTAGCAGATTTAAATGAGAAAATGAAAGAGAGACATAGATGAAAGGATCTTGGAATTGTCATTAGAGAAAGAAAATAATACACAATTGACTATTCACTTGAAAACTTGCTTAGTAGTAAAACAAACCAAGAAGTTTAATCAAATGAATTAGTTGATCAAAAGATCACAAATTGAAAAAGTAGAATTAGATGTTAATATAAATTATTAACTGGGCGGTGGAGGTGGAGGAGGAGGAGGAGGAGGAGGTGGTGGTGCTGCTGCTACATAAAGACTGGCAGGGATCGCGGGGACACTAGGGGCACTAGGAGGAGGAGGAGGTGGTGGTGGAGGTGGTGTATTTGCTCCGAATGGTGATACTCCGGCAATGTTCATATATCCTATCCATGGAGTGTTGACAGCAGAAGGAGTTGTTGATCTCTGACCACTAGACGGTGGAGGTGGAGGTGGTGGAGGAGATGGAGCTGCAGGTACACCAACACCTTGAGTCCAACCTAATGAAAGAAAAGATGAACCAAAATTTAGATTATCAGTCAACTCAGTTATTGAGATTAAATGCAAATAAAATTGAAAAATCTAACATATAACATTGTAACATTCTAACATTGTAAGATAAATAATAAGATGCAAAAAAGTTTTAGCAGAATTAAAAAATACCTTGCTGTAACCATGGATTTGAATTGGCTTGGGCTTGTGCGGATAAGCACTGGTTTGGGCTACTCCAGCTACAGAAACACCTGTAGAAGACCCATAACCGTATGCTGTCGATGCTTGGCCTGACCCATAACCGTATGCTGTCGATGCTTGGCCTGTTTGGGTTGTTTGCCAATAAGGCGTTTGAGCCACTGATTGATTATCATTCCTAGACCATGCACCGTTTTGTTGATTATTAGAGTGATGGGGATTACCAAGATGTTGAGATTGAGAATGAGATGAACTGTGAGAATCTCTTGATCCAGGACCAGCCATGATTGCTCTTGGAGGACCTCCAGACCCACCTAAATTTGGACCCGATCCGCCTAGACTTGAACTACTAGTGTTCCCTCCACCATTGCTACCGGAAGAATGATTCATTTTTGGTGGACGAGGACCTTCTCCTAGTTCGGCCATTAAAGACAAATACTCTTCATCAATTTTAGAAGAGTTGGCATTTTGCGGAGCTTTCTTTTCTTTACAATCTTTAGAAATATGCCCTTTGGCACCACAATTGGTACAAATAACATTATTGGTAACATTAGGTTTATCAGGACACTGCCAACTACGATGAGCTGATGAGCCACAATTAAAACATTTAGGACCGTCGGTTTCTCTAAGCGTACCATTTAATAATGCAAGCTCGCGCAATTGATTTTTACGTAAGTCGTTCTGGTTTTCGGGAACTTCAATCCCTTGACGAATTACATCTTTTATCTAACGAAAAAAAATTAAGCTGATGAAAACGATTCGCGAAAATTTAAATATCTTAACATAGGCAAATTATAATAACCTTTTGAACAGCTTTCATAACCGAATCATGAGTACTGGCTGTAACAAAAGCATGGAGCGGTTCATCCTCCCCGGGCATAGGTTGACCATCTTTTCGACCGATCTTTCCTTCTTTTACAGAACCCTTGCCACGGATTATTATCTTAGCTCCAGACTACCAAGGTAAGAAGAGAAAGATTTGAGATTAGTCATGTCACTATTTACACAAAAGTGTACCAACTTACATCTTTCTCCATCCCTTTCAAGGTATTTCCTCTGGGACCGATTAAAAGTCCAACAAAATTAATTTCTGGATATTCTTCTTGAGGAATTAAAACTTTTTCGCTGATTTTGGTCTGAGGTGGCCTGGAGAAGTGAAAGAGAATAAAAAATGAATAATACGATCTTATTGATAAGTTAAAGATGAACATACTTGTAATCAGATGGAGGCTTGAATGAAGGATTTATCTTGACCATTTCTTGAATAAGGTTATGTCTCTCATCTTCCAATTTTTTCCGTGTCCTAAACTCACGAGTATTAAGACGTTTACCTTCATTGTTATAAATAGGCTCAGGTGATGGTGATCTGTAAGGATAGCAGTTATAGTGAAATGTCAAAAGAATAAACTTACGAGGTGAATATTGAGCAGAGAGGTAAGGTGACAGGCAAAAAAATTTCCAAAGTTTCAAAGTTGAGTTTCGAGAAAGAGGTTACCTCTCTTCTGGATTGGTTGGAATCTCCAAGTCTCCAGTTCTTAGTCTTCGAGTCAAGTCCTCTATTTGCAATTGAACTATTTAAATGGTAAGAAAAACAATGATAGCAATTAGCAATCAAAAACCCTTTTCATCGAAACATTTACATATATTGCAATCATTCCAATACTCACGTAGGTAGATTCGCTCTTGTTCCACAGATAAATTAACGGGTAACACCGTAGGTAAGCCTGGAATAATAACCTTGTCATCACCACCCCAGCGGCTTTTCTTCCTCCTTTTATTCGAACTTTCCATTGGAAATGAAGAAATCTAACCTATTGATGAGTAGACAATGATGATCAAGATGCAGGTAAAAGGCAAAAACTGTCAAACTACCATCTGTGAAAATATGTAAATACAATCAACTTATTTTTCCCTAGTTAAATAAAGTAAACAATTAAAGAATTACAAGAAATGCTGGAGAAAACATTTCTTGTTACACTAATGTAATCGAGTAACCAATAGTAACAAAAGTAACCAATAATTACGAATAAATTTCTTGGCGAAAAGCTCAAAGCGCCAAGTACGAAAATAAAACAAAAACATTGGGATTTTATTGATTGATTGATTTCTTTAATCATACTCCCAACAATTAAACAAAATAAATGCCAATCCACGGTATAAATCCTAAATTTAAATCAGTGAAACAAATTATTCAAGCTTATCCAGTTTTGCAATTAAGATTAACTCTGCAAGTTAAACAGTCAACAAAAAAGAAATTCTTTAGTTCGAGCGGGTAAGCAATTATATTGCCCTGCAATAAAAATTGACTTGGCCTGTTTGCATCCTATTGCGACTCACAGTTTGTTTTTCTTTTGTTTAGATTTGTTGATTAAACCAATGTATCAACTTTAGTGACAAATCACCTTTGACAGTTTGTGCTTTGACCTACGATTGGATTTTGTGCATTCACCACCGATCTTTAATTTAATTTTCATCTTGAAGGCTTTTTTCTTTCTTGTATCCTTGTTTTTCCAAGTTGTGTTTACTTTTGTTGTATCCTGTTTTGTTCCTGTGATATCTTTCATTATTGTTTCATATAATTTGCCACGTAAAAATGTCTGTTTTCATTGATTTCAAGCCTCCTGATGAATCTGAGGAATATGAAGTTGAAAAAATTTATGATAAACGTACAAGGGAAGGTCGAGTTGAGTATTTCTTGAAATGGGTTGGTTATCCTGAATCAGCGAATACCTGGGAACGTCTGGAAAATCTCAATTGTCCTGCATTAGTTGCTGAATTTGAAGAAGGCAGATTGAAAAAAAAGAAACGAGATCAGCTTCGCCAGACTAGAGGAAGACCACAGTCACCAGTAAAGAATGGAGTTTGTGGAATAGAAAATGGATTTGAAGTCGAGAGAATTATTGGTGCTACTGATGTGCATGGCGAATTGGAGTTTCTGATCAAATGGTAAGTTTGATTCTCTGTTTAAATTGAAGCCTGTTTCACACTTATCATCCCGATTGATTTCATTGTCCGAAAATTGATTTTATTGACCAGAACAAAAGTTTATCACATTATTCATCACTTTATCTGATCTTATTGAAATTCTACCATTTTGATATTTTTCTCTGTTTAGGAAAGAATCTCCATTAGCTGAATTGGTCAAAGCTTCAATTGCTAATGAAAAGTTACCAGCAGCAGTGATTGCATTCTATGAGGCCAGACTTGTTACTCGTTTTTCGAAATCTGAATCTAACAAGGACGTAAAGAAATTTAAACTAGCGAATAATGGACGAAATTTAAATTCCGTTTCTGACGACGATTCTTTAAATGGCGATTCCATGGAAACTGATACTGCAATAACTGCTGGAACATCAACTAATGAAGCATCAATTTAAGTTTATATCAAACTACTTTCTTTATAAATCTGACTTGAGATGCCTTTTTCACATTTATGACAAATTCACTTTCCATTATTGTTAAATTAGTCACCAATTTGCTGTTTACAATGGTTAATTAACTTTATTTGATTTGCAATTAAAAGCTTGAAAAGACAACATGAACTGGTCTACTTTATTGAAGCATTGTTTATTGTGTGATCATGTTGGGCTTTTTTTCAAGATTTGAAATCAGTTTAATGTGAAAAATTTTTCTTTCTTACGTGTTATAACAGGTGTCCGTTCACCAAACTATTTTTTTGAGCAAACAAAAAGTTGAAAATGTTTTACAGCTCTAAGAGAGATCAGCTTCTAACTGAATTCACATTAATTGATCACTCAATTAAAACAGTTGGAAATGTAATACCGACTCGATCAAAGTAAAAACCAATAAAGTTATTTATAAAAAAACCAGAGATATGTACGGCAAAGTTAAGTTCTGGTTACTCGAAAGAATAGTGTTGTGAATGGACAAGGAACCGACAAACCACATCATTCAGATTGATTGAATAATTTTAAATTATGAGATATTATACTTTCCTTAAGTAAAAAAAGTGTTTATTCGTTTTAGGGATTGGAAACGTTTTATTTTATTTTACCTTAATCAAATATTTTTCTAAATGGTTTTAGATTGTATTGGTTCTTTGAATAGAACCAGCAATTCTGTAAAGCTCTTCAAATTTGTGAATTTGTCTTAAAAAGTATTCACCATAGCGACGAGCAACTTTAGTATCAGCTACAAGAATCATATCTTTATCAATGTAAAAATCTACATCAGAGCCTGATTCAAATTCGCCTTCTAAACCAGAGTTTCCTTGTGTGCGATTCCATACAAGATTACGCATTTTATGTTTGAAACATAACAATTGTACTCTCAGAGTATCTTCATCAATCTCCAAGAATGCAGCCAATTTTGACATGGGCATTGTGGTATAAAGCTTCAAGTAGCTCCTTATCACCAAAGTTTGAATTTGTTGGGAAATTTCGTCCATAAAAACACGAAGTTGTTGATTCCAAGGATCGATTCGCACTGGTGTTTCGCCTGACATATCTGGTTCAACAATAGTTACGACTGGAGATAAGAATTTTGGGCAAGCAAATCTGAATGCAGCTTCAAACTCTTTCAGATCTGCACGTTGCATTTTGCTCATTGAGTCACCAAACTTTTCTTGTAATACTGACAGAATACTTTCATCGATTCTTTGAGGATGCAAGACCAGGCAAATATTGAGTGAAGCATACATCTGATCAGTCTGTTTATCAATCAAATCCATTTGAAATGTTCTAGAAAATCGAAAATGGGAGAATATAGCGTTAAAATAGATTTGTAAACAATAGATTATAAGATATACTAACCTAAATTGTTGATAAATTTGTCCACGTTGAAGTGTTCTTTGAAGATAAGACAAAATGTTACAGAAAGTACGAATGGCATCAGCATATCTTCGCATCATCATGTAAGCAAATCCTACATAATAGAAAGTTGTAGTCTGACAAGCTAGAACACGAGCAACAGACAAATTTTGTAGAGGTTGACGATGTAAATCTATATTTTCAACAACTTTGACGGCATGATAGTAATCTCCGAGCAAAGAATGGAGTCTGAGGAGCCCAATTAGAGAAAAATAACCAAGCATTTTATAGATAGTTTGTCTACCAAATTCATCTGCAACCAAATCTGGATCCCGACCGGCATTATACTCCTTCAATTGTTCATTAATTTTTGATTTATCTACCAAACAATGCAAAACATTCAAGACAGAATGTACATTCCAAATGGGAAGATTAAGCTTCAACTGTTCAACCTCATATTCGGAAAGCTTTCCAGCATTTGCTTTCATTCGATAAAGAGAAAAGGATTGAAATTGGTAAATGAATTCATCAATGATATCCCATAACCACTGGTTGGGTAGCTCAATTGGGACTGGTTCCTCGTCGTTGAGCAATAAATTAAAAAGAGCACAGTAGTTCGCATATGATTCAAATCTTTGCTCAATTGTTGGTTGGCATTTAGCATAAATATGTCGGAAGTATAATTCTTTGTAGAAGATGATGAATGTTTTAAAATGCTCTCTTTCACCAACAACATGAACCACTTCTCCTTCAGTTGGCCAGGGTCTTTCCTTATAATAAGTCTCAGTTAATTGGAGAAATGTATTCTCATACAAGTTGTGAATTTCATACACGTTTCTTTCAGTGATTGCCTTATAGAGTCTGAGAAGAAACTCATGGACGACATCAGGAACATTGAAACCAGATCCAACAGCCGCAGATCCACCACCACCAGTCAAGTAACTTTTTTCATATTCTAAGTCTTGTCTTGGATCTCCAGAGTGAAGCCCATTATAGCCATAGTTATAACCATAATCCTATCAATTAAAAGAATTAAAATTAAAATAAAATAAATAGAATCAAAACAGATTGGATATATAAGGATGGAAACACAACAGACAAGTGGCATGAAAAAAGGATCTAGTTACTTACATTTCCATATTCGTAATCATAACCATACTCTCGATTCATGGTTGACTGTGAACAGATGTAAATCCAAGCTTTAATTTAGATAAAAAAAAATAACAAATCAAGTTAATTACGAGATTTAAAGAAGCAATTTGTGAAACCAACAAGCAATGTTTACTAAGCAACAGATTTAACCACTAGTCGGCGCTTTTACGTCTTTCAATATCAATAAAGTCCCTAGTTTCCGCTTCCTCACAATCTTGATTCCTAATGTGTTACTTGTGATAAAATTAATTAATTAGATTGATTTTGTTGTTTAAAATCCAACCTTATTGATTTTACATCTTTCTCAAAATGGTAAGTTATTATTAATTCCATTTGCGTTACTTCAATGCCTTTTGAGCCATATTAACATATCTGATTTGCTGTTTCTTTCAATCCGCAGACTTGTAAGCGTAGAAATAATGGTCGATCTAAACATGGACGAGGACATGTTGATCCAGTTAGGTGTGACAACTGTGCTCGATGTGTTCCAAAGGACAAAGCTATTAAGAAGTTTGTGGTTAGGAACATTGTTGAGGCTGCCGCCGTTAGAGATATTACCGATGCCTCCGTATATGAAACTTATCCCTTACCAAAATTATATGCTAAAATTTATTATTGTGTCTCCTGTGCTATCCACAGTAAAATTGTGAGAAACAGAAGCAAGGAAGATCGGAAAATCCGAACTCCACCACCACGATTTTCTGGAGCTAGACCTGGACCAAAAGAAGGAGCTAACGCTAACCGTACTGGAGCCAAGTAAACATCCACAAGTAATTGTAGTAGCGGTTAAATTAATAAAATGACTTGTTTCTAATATGCTTTATCTAATTTGATTTCTATTCGTGGCCAGTTTAAGCATTTATATCAAATCTCATATTTCTCTTATTTCTCTTTTGGTACAGATTGTTCATCAATATTAGATTAATCACCAATTTGCTGTTTAAAATATTTAATTTGATTTATTTGAATTTAGTTTCAAACTTGCTCTTTAAATTTGTGCTTATGTCTTAAAAAGTATTCCCCGTAACAACAAGTAACTTTAGTATCAGCTACTACAGCTGCTATCTACTCTCAGAGTGTCTTCATCAATCTCCAAGAATGCAGTTAATTTTGACATAGGCATTTTAGTATAAAGCTTCAAGTATTTCCTCATCACCAAAGTTTGAATTTGTTGAAAACACGAAGTTGTTGATTCCAGGGATCGATTCGCACTGGAGTTTCACCTGACATATCTGGTTCAACAATAGTTACGACTGGAGATAAGAATTTTGGACAAGCAAATCTGAATGCAGCTTCAAACTCTTTCAGATCTGCACGTTGCATGCTCATCGAGTCACCAAACTTTTCTTGTAATACTGACAGAATACTTTCATCGATTCTTTGAGGATGCAAGACCAGGCAAATATTGAGTGAAGCATATCCAATGGGTTGGTTATCCTGAATCGGCGAATACCTGGGAACGTCTGGAAAATCTCAACTGTCCTGCATTAGTTGCTGAATTTGAAGAAGGCAGATTGAAAAAAAAGAAACGAGATCAGCTTCGCCAGTCTAGAGGAAGACCACAGTCACCAGTAAAGAAAGTGCTTGTTTAAAGGATTGGTGAATGGACGGGGAACCGATATTTCATAATAATGTCATTCACATTGCTTGAAAATTTTAAATTCGATTCGAATTCGCCTTCTAAACAGAATTTCTTTGGGTGTGATTCCATACAATATTACTCATTTCAGCTGGTTCGAAAATAGTTACGACTAGAGATGAAATTTTTTGGACAAGCAAACCTGAATGCAGCTCCAAACTCCAATCCAGTCTTTGATGTATTTCCATTTCTTGATGCCATTTTAATTATTATTGATTATTTACTGGAAAGTTTAAAAAATTTGATACCAGAGGAATTAGCGCTGTCTGTAATTCAAACTTGGCTTTCAAACAATGCAAAAATGGACAATTTCTCCTGTTGAATGGGACTTCGGAGCAACCTTACTTTGGAATTGATAACAATGGAATTACTGAAGAAATCATGAGAGTCGCAAGAAATTACCTCTTCTATCAAATCTGTCAATTGAGTGGAAGCCATGCATTACAAATTTGATGACCAAGTATGACAAATAGACCAATCGTTGACTGCTGATCAATTCTGTCGTATATATCATCCAACATACTTATGGTTCAATTAATTGATAAATAATTTGTCGAATGGAAAACAAAATTTTGATTTGAGTCAAGCTTTCACTCCTACACGAAACATAGTAATTATGAGGCAGTTTGGTGGTTCATCAGGAGTAAACAAATTTTAATAATATACGAAGCCAGAAAAAAAAGACTAAGCAAGGTTCACTTTTTCAACTCAAACCATGAAAAGATCAACATTTTTTCATGTTGCTTTGTGTATGCAAATTTTACCCAAATCATCAACCTTGTTAATGTCATTTGTTGCCCTTTTTTAATATACAATTCACCAAATATACAAAGGAATGAAATGGAAACAAATATCATGTTGTCATAATAAATCATGACAAGGTTTAATTTGATATTATTTAAACGTAAAATGAAGCAAAGCTGAGTTTTTGTGCAGCAAAATTGTAGAGCAATGTTGTATTTACTGATTTTTCAGGTTCATTTCAAATCAGAGTAAATTTATTTGACAATATTTTGCCTTTAAAAGTGTCAAATTTGCTCAACCATTTTGACAATTGATTTTCAATTAGATTGGCTGACAAACCATTTCAATGAATGCACAATATTGAGACTATCTTCAATATAAAAAAAAGCTGTTCAACTGATGATATTTTTTTGCCGTCTCCCCTTCAATTATTTACACTGGATATAATGACAACACAAATTAACCTTTAATTAAATTGTACCTCTCAATTAACTGAATAATATCCCAATTTAATAGTAATTTATGTAGATCCATCAGTTTTTTTCTCTCTTTCCATCCAATTTCATCTCATCCCTCTCCACTCCCAGTGTGTGTTTGATTGATTGATAAACAACAAAACATTATTACCATTTTATGTCTATTGTTATTTGCTTTATTTGGCTTTTCATTTTATCGATTTTCAATTAACAATCTGTATCCAGTCAAAATACTAATCTGTTTTTGCTGTTGTTCATGTTTGTGTTATATATAAATATATATTGTTGCTAAAAGAAACATTTCAAGCTCAGAGGGAAGAGAGAAATTTTGTCTTCGTTTTCACCCAAAAATTCAGTTAAATTGACTATTATCTAGGATGACAATAGAATGACAATTGATTACTTGAACAGTTATCATTATTATACTCATCTTGACCATTGTAAAACTTCAACTTTCCTCTTGTTCCAGATGACCAAGTCAAAACAAATGATAATCCCAATTATTTGGCGACAATCAAACATTTCATCCTTAAATCCTGTGAGAGGAACCACAAGTTTATATATTTGTAATGGATATAAAAAAAGAAGCGACAAAATCAAATATCAATAAACTAAACTTTAACACAAAACAAAATGGACAAACAATTTCAATCTTTTCCTTTAACATTGAATCAATATTTTTTACAATCAAATTATCAAATTTACCAAAACATTGAACAACCATCTGAATTGGTGAAACAAAATGAAACTGAAAAGCCATTGATTCCATACAAACTCAAGTTTAAATTTCTGGTTAATCAATTCATCTATCAATGAATAATTGTTTCCGTAACATTAACATGTTTAATGGTTTCTATTGAAATTACAATGACAACAATCGATGTTAAATTTCAATGTAAATGTTGAGACTTTGAAAGCTAAACATTAACAATTTATGCTTTTCAAGTTACACTTTTTGTGAGGAAAATTAATCAATGATCTTGTTAATTGTAACAATTGTGATTGATGATTGTAACCACAAAAAGACGAGATAATTAATAGGAACAAAATTGAAATAATAAATTACAAAATAGCTGTTCATTTGCATTAGATGTTAATAAAATTATAATTTACTTATCACACTGTATTTGGTGCAATCTCACAATTTAATTATCATCTTTACCCATTGTATCCTTTAATATATTGGGATTATTAACACAGTCAAATAACAGGGAAACAATTGAAGAGTAACAGTTAATTTGATTAAAGTTAATAATAACAAGATTAAAACAATTAGATTGTAATCTGACAAGAAGTAGAGCAACGAAAAAAAGAGTCTCCAAAATGAGCTTAACTTGAAGGAGTGAAAACAATCTTGACACAAATCTTTAATTTTCATATCAAGAGATGAATTTATGAAAGTTGTTCAAGATTATCATGAAAGGATTACAAATGATTAGACTTTTAAATGTAATCATGGAAACTGCTAATTCGACAATTTGATGATTGCGATCATCATTGTGACCAACAGGATAAGTCAACATTGATTTTTCCTTTTCTTCATTTCACTTTGTATTGCTTATTGATTGACTATCGATTACCAAGTGAATATCACAAATTTTTCGTCTCATATTACATCTTTAACTGTCTTTACCAACATGATCATCATGATAAACATTTGTTCAAATTCATCTTTGGTTTCATCTTTTGGGTAAAAATAATTTGTTTGTTTACCATTAACCATGTCACAATGAACGATTCCTGATGAAACATTACCAATTACAATTATTTCCTTCCTTAATATCTATTGATGAGATTGGGTTCACATTAAGATCTTAACATGAAAACAAGAAAAGTAAAACAACGAAAAAAAAGGTTTCTAAATGAATTTGAAAATGGATAGAAAAATATATTCACATGATTTTTACATAATTTATCCAAACTAAATGAATACATGAGAATGAAAAATGTCACAGAATATTAACATTAAACATAAATTCAGCCCAGATGATGATGAATATGAGAGTGATGATAAGTGAAAGGGGAAAAAAGTGGAAAAGATAAGTAAAAAGAGAGAAAAAAGTAAATGTGAATATAAAATTGAATGATGATGAATAAATGATAAGATGATGCTGAGTCAAGCAAATGATGGTTCCAAATATGCTTTTCACATGGAAAAGAAGATAAAAAGATGAAGAATGGGAAGAGATGAGAAGAGAAGAGAAGAAGAAAAAAAGAGAAGCAAAAGGTTGGCTTTTTTTTTGTTTTCCCAAACAGTGAAAGAAGAAACAAGGTTTGACTTGCTATTGACTGGGAATGGATAACAGGGAATGAAAATCATGATTCATGAAGTTGAGTTGGTGAAACATAAGGATAAAAGTGTAAGTGTGCTTCAGGAATGATGAATAGCAAATAATATGAAATGGATTGTGCATCTTATTCAGCCTTTTTCTGTTCAATGTTGATGTGAAAACAAAATGATAACCAAAAGGCAATATCAAATGTTAAAACTGAATTGACATTGATTTGCTTCTTCAACTTACAGGCAATATTATTTCAACTGATTCTCAGTTCGAGTTTACCCTTTCATCTTGTTCTCACCCATCTCTGGACTTGTTCTTGCTTCTTCTTCTTCTTCTCACTGAATAACACCTTGGAAAGGGGAGCAAATAAAACCAATAATAACATGATAAAGGAATTTGAAAATGGATTGCAACAAATCTGAACAATCTAAATATACTTAGGAATGAAAGGAAGAGAGAAATCTAAAATTTTGCTTTTTTCGTTTCTTCTCTTTACCAAAAAAAACCTTAATCCATCGTTTTGTAAACAAAATTGAATGATGAGAGGAATGATGAGAATGGTTAACATCTCATGCTTATCTTCATTTCGAACTGAATTCACTTTTTTCCTTTTCAATTCTCTCATGAGTTGGTAAAGTTGAAACATGAACAAAAACAACAAGACGAAACAAAA